TGGCTCCGCGGGCGCGGAGCGGCCCCGCGCTGCCCCGGGGCTCTGCTGCGGGTCCGGCGCCGCAGGGCGAAGAACTAGCTCAGCCCCGCAACGCAAACCCCGGGCGGCTGCAAAATCCCTACCGGCATCATCTGCTAAAGTTTCTTCCCAAGTCCCCCGGCGCAGGAGGGTTTCACCTCCGGCGTTTCTCACCTGCAGGCAGCGCCGGCCAGGCGCTCCCTGCCTGCCATCAGTCCGGTTCTGGCTGCCTGCACCGCTCCCGCCTGCTCGGCTGCGCCGGGCAGGTGCGGTTCCCACTTGTCGCTGTTGCAGAGGGCGGCTGTGCTCTTTGAACAGAGGAAACTTCCTTCTGTCGGTAGTGTAAGCGTTCTTTCTCCGTGCGTATCAAACCGCTGATGTTCAGGGATACGCAGTCCTACAGGGCACGTGGAGACGTAGTGCTGGGTGTAGAAATACAGGTGCGGCTGCGATTACCGTCTCCTCGTTTTGTATCTTTGCTCTGCCCTTGGATCTTGGCAGGAGCACGGGAAGGCTCCAGTTCAGTGAAGCCGCAGTAATCACCCCTTCTATATGATTTATCCACAATTAAATTTTGATTCGGCATGTTTCTGCTGTCCTACGCTCTGCCCTTTGCAGACACACGCATTATAACTGTGTGTTTCCCCAGCTGCAGACTCCTACGTACCACTAAAGGATAATGTTGTACCCAAGAAGAAATGAGACGGAAGCAGCCCAAGGTGAGCTCAGGGACAGTAAAGTGACCCCCCAGCACACCTGGAAAGGGGATATCTCTCCTCCTTTCCAACTTGTCCCTGCAAAGTGTCAGAGAGAGTGTGCTACAGCACAATCTTTTTTCACTCCTGTCTTTCTATCTAGAGGGACTGCACCCCTTGCCTTGTACCCTACCTCTCAGGTGGTGACCAGCGCTCTGAATCCACGTTGGCATCTAGCTTAATTCAGCTGAGAAACAGTTTTACGCTGTTTTTCCAGGGTGCGCTCACATATGTGTGTACACCATGTGCTAGCATTGCTATTTCATAGCTGCAGAGCTTTATTTAAGGATAGAGCACAAGCGTGGCCTGACACAATGCTGTGTTACTCTGCCTGTGCCTCTGAATGTGCCTGTTTTCAGATGAGCACTTTCTGTAATAACACAAGCGTTAGCCTTAGTGCCTTGTCCGTATCCTAATTTGGATGATACATTTTTGCAGTTTCATTGGAACCAGTATTCATCATTCCTGCATGAGACAGTTTTGTGGCAAGTTACTCAAAACTTGCTAAATTTTATGGGGGATGGCTACACGTTAATTGCTGTTGAAAATAAGAAAGAGCCTAATGTGCTTCTCACTTTGTTTATCCAGCTGCCTATATAATTGTTTTATAAGATTCTAAAGAAAAATCATGGGCTGTATGCCACCAATGTACAGTTATTTCATATTACAATTTTGTGTCCAGTCTAATTTGAATGACATTGCATTGTATTATGGAGAAGCTGGTAACTGCCTCTGTATTTAGGCTGCCAAATACTTTGTATTATTATAAAGAATTATTTCATTCTTTTTTTTTCCTGATAAATTCTCAGACCAGTGGCATTAGCTGCAGGATGTTGATATTTGGCAGAGAAAATGGCCTGAAGCTATAAATGTGACTTTTCTGTGTAGAGAGGATCCTTCATTCTCATGAAATTCTTCCAGTTTTTGCTGAGCTGTATCTTGTCAAAAATGACCATTTCCCTTTCCCCAGGGAGAGAAAAGCGTTCTTTCATTTTTTTCAGAGAAGAAATTGTTCCTTATTAAAATAATACTTGAACTGAGAGGTGTGTGTAGCAAAATCAAATAGCCAAAAGTGAGGTAGCACCAGATTTATATACTCCGGACAGCTTGAGCTTGTAATGCAATGAATTAACACGTAATTCATTGGGAATTTGATGTGCTGAGTGATGAGCCACTTGGATCAGAAATGGCAGTTGTGCTTTGAATCCAGGAACATCGATCCCCTTCTTGTTTAAAGGGTATCATGAGTCAAGGGCTTCTCTGGCTGCTTTTCCTTCATGGGGTGAGGGCCAGAAAACAAGTCAGCTGAGAGAGAAGGAAAGCAGCTCCAGTTTTCTGATTCTTTCTGATTTCCTTGGCAATTGCAGGCCAAATTTTGATGGGATATAAAGAATTGACATCGCACAAACTTTGCACAGTAATGAATTCCTGCTTCTGCTTTCCATATGCTGAAGGACAGTGGTGAAGATAGTGGTGATATAAGAGCTGTGAGGGCAGGTGGCTTTAGGCTCCAGAAAGCTGCCTACTTGCCCTCAGCTGCAATAACAGTACTTTTATGTTGCCTTAACAACTGCAGAAACGATTGAAGTCACTGATGTTATTGGGATGAGAGAAATAGAAAGAGGCAGAAGTTAAGTACTTTTCATTCACAGTTTTATCCACTAACTGGATGTATGAACAAAACAGATATTCAAAAAATAATTTTTTAAAAGCGCATTATAATGGACACTTACCTTTCATGGAACTCTTAAAATATTGGTGCTTCTCTTCAGTAGCTGTAAAGCTGTGTTGAGCACTGCAGATAAGGTAGAAGAGAGTTTGTATTTATGGAGTTCTGAAATCTCTCTCCTGTGTTCCATTCTTTCCATTTTCTTCTCATCCAATAAAGTTTTAATTCTTGTTTCTACCATTGTTTGTTGTCATGGAAATATCTGAAGGCTTTGAGTATAGAATGATTATGGTTTTATTGTGGAGAGATGATGAAAATGGAAAACAGACTTCAAGGAAGAGATCTCCCATTTAAAAATGATGCAGTTCCAACAATTCACAGAAAAGCAAATGCAGTTTTTTTATTATATCCGGGGGCAGAAGATGTTTTGACTTTTATTATAAATGTATTTTAAGAACAGAAGGTAGCATCTGGTGTATGCTTTCAAAGGTTACAGTTTAGCAACTATCATCAGTGAGTAGCACTGATGAAATAGTGGTGATCCAGCTTAATAACGTAAACCTCAGAATGTGCTCAAGCGACTTTACAGTTGTTTATAGGCAGCAAACATCTGCAAGCAGACTTCACAATAGTGCTAGTTTATTAATCAGCCAAGCTGTGCTCTAACGCCCCTAACTCAAAGGCATCCGTTTCAGACTTAGCTTTTTGCTGTGCTGCAGCTCATTGTGCCGCTAGGTCACACCCTGGGCCTTAACGTCCCTCTTCGTTTGACTTGTTCACCAAGTAGAGAGAGAACCTGGTTCATCGGTCACAGGTATGTTTGCTCTGGGTTAAAAGTACAGAGTATTTATTAAATAATTTCTGGCATGAGAGTAGTAGATGTATCCCGCATTTTTTGAATACCATTGGACATTCTTTCTAAAGAAGATCTGCAGGTTTTGACTCAAAGCTGTCCTGGCTTTGGATGGAGATGTTCACCCGATTTACATGTGTTTATTAATATCCATTATGATTTGAGTTCTGTTAGTGCCAGAACACGCAGGATGGGATTGCATAGTTAATTATTCCCAGTCATACTTTCTTGTTGATACTTCTATCTCATGTTAAATGGGGAGTGATAACTTGGCTCAGTTCACCAGCAAATCTGCCGTTAATCCACTTTGTCTTCACCCAGTAGTTATACGGGCTAAATACCCATGACTCAATACAAATTGAGAATGCCACGAGCTGAAGAATTCACAATCAAACAAAATCGAAAATATCTTGAGGAGGAATTTGTGCCTTGGAGTCTACTGTGTTTAAATTCCAGGTTTCTGAAAGGCAGTTTGAATAACTTTGGATTCTCTCATGTTTGCTAATGCTGTGAGCGTTATATACATGATGTGTTCAGTGCAAAAGTATTAAGTGCATCAAAGACAAGGAGTGTGATTTATATTAAGTCTGGTAGAACAGCCCATAAAAATGGGAAGCTGCTTAAACTGAGAGGCTTCTGCCATAAGCCACAGCCCTGTCTCACTGACCACAAGCAGTTTGACAGCATTTCTGTCATGACCCAGTGTCCCAACTTGACGTCACCTCTAAAACTTTCAGAAGAAATTAATGGAAATGTCTATACAGGTTCGGATTAGGAATGTCTCAGGAAAAGGCGTGGTATTACAAAGCAGCAGTGATGTGGTGGTCAGGCAGTTAACTGTGGTACCCTGGTAATCACAGGAAAATTAATGATTTTTAACATGTGACATAGCATGCAATTTCAGTCTGTTAATAGAAAAGTTATGGAGAACCAAATTTTGCATGACTCCGATGAAAAATGCTATAAACTTCCCTGTAACTCTACACAAAAAAACCCTCAACCTGTGAAAATTGGATCAGAACCAATGACATCTTAATCTATCTTCCATTTCTGCTACTGAATGGCACAAGGTGCCTTGGAGGGATGAATGAGATCTTGTCTTTGAGTGTGCTTATTTATGTTATGTTGATCATTACATTCAGTCTTTTCTTAGACCCTAATATTTAGATGTAATTTGAAGACTAAAATTATGAATCTCAAAATCTCAGTGTCTTCTGAATCCGTCTTTTTAACTGTTTGCATGGAGTACAACAAATGCTTCCCTGATCCTGCTTGGGCAGTGAATACTGCTGCAATACAAACAATAATAATTACATTTACTAAGGCAAAAAGAGGCAGAAAATAGAAGTCCGTTTCTATGAAGTAATGAAAGGTACAATAAAAGGCAGTTAGCTGGCATGTCCTCTTTCCCATGGAAACACCAGAAGAGAGAGAACCCTCTGCTGAAATAAAAGCAGTCTCTATGAAAGGAATAATTTCTTTTTAAAACCTGTGGGCATGCCTGCAAGTTGGGGCTGCGGTTGCGGGGGCTGCTCCTCCCTGGTGATGGCATACTGGTTCCAGTGGGTCTCAGTGTGGATGGGGAGAGCCGCACACACAGACCTACTCATCTGATTCCCGAGGCTTGAGGCATGCCCATCTGTTCCAAATAAAGCCTAACACAAACACCGGGCTAAATGTATTTAGATTATGAGTCCATTAGGGAGGCAAGCATCCTTTTGTTAATCACATAGATGTGCAGTGCGTAAAACAGCGATGTGGGGGTCTGCCAGAGCCCAGAACAGTGAGAACAAGATAATATTGGGAACTGCTAAGAGAAGGCAATGTCAAAAGGAGACACACAGAGGTGAAATAGCCCTTGGAGTGGCTAAGGTGGGGCCAATGTTCCTGGGGGTTTGTCCCCCAGGAGCAACTGGTGCCCTGCTGTGGCACATTGCTGCTGCTCCAGCTGTAGCCCTTCTCTGCACATGCAGGACGAAACCACCCCCTCTCCCATCTCAGGGCTGGGGGTCAGGTTAGATGATGCCTTCATGTCTTGTTGAGTTTCCATTGTTTGCTTGGGTTTCGTACCTTTTTTTGGTTGGGGCAAATTTTAGAAGTGGAGTGAATAGACCAAACAATAACCCCTGTTTGCTTTTGGGGCAGGGAGTGCATTTGTTTTCGACATTAGGGGATCTCCAGTTTACTGCTGCTTTACAACATCTGTGTAAATGGTTCTTGTCCCTCTGAATTCAATACATCTTCTACTGTAGTTTCGTAATGGGTAAGGATGAGATGTTTTCCTACTAAATAGATTTCCCAGTGCTTTA